CTCAAAATATTTCATATATATTTCTTATTCTTATGATTTAATATCAAATGTAGTTTCTAAATACTAAATCTTGGTTTGAATTGTTAGATTTTTTTATTCAAACTGAAAATTAAGTGAAAATTGATCAACTTTATGTCCCGATTTGAATCCAGTAGACCTTCCTTGTTCCTTGTTAGGATACTCCCAAAATCTTATGTTGCTTTTCAGAACTAAAATAATGTGTAAAATATCAAAAAATGTTCTTTTGCAGTTTCAAATATGAAATCAAATAATCAAATTTTCATTCATAATTTTTTTAGTTTCCTATACACATTTCTACAAGTATCTTCAAAAATGTATTTCATGAAATACAATATCTCACTAATTACTTTACATGTTTATGATAATAAGCTAATGGGTTAATTAAAATTCCTTAACTATTACGAATAATTACAATTTTCTTTGTATGACTAATTTTCTGGTTTATTAGAGGAGGTATTTAGTCTTAGTTTCTCTTAACAATAATCAATTATCCGTTTGCGATATAAAATAAATCAGGGATACATCAATTTTTAGACATAAAATATAGAAAAGAATCCTTTAAAAAGTGTTGCTGATATCAAAAATCTATTCAATTTAAATTAAATGATGTTTTCTTGCCAAACAAAGTAAATCATTAGTAAAGTAAGTCTAAAGCAACTTTTACTCTTCAGGTCTGGTGATATTACTTCGTTACAAGTAGATGCCATCGTCAATTCTACAAACGAGTACATGAGTGATAGCAATCCAGTCAGTGACAGGATTTTCCAGAGGGCTGGGTCCGAACTAAAAGAAGAAATCAACCTAGATATAAGAGGTAAGTCATTTAAACACCATTAAAGAATAATAATAATACACCATTCCTTCCTTATGCCACTTAAAATTCCCCGTTATACTTCCGGTAAGACATAATACAAGTATTTATTTCAAATTGTTTGAGATAGGGTACCGCAGGGAACATATGTAGGGCCCTTTTACAAGATTTTGATTTTTGAGTGGTACCGAATTGTTTTTTGATTTCCAGAATGTAAAACGGGCGAAGTAAGGATCACCCGAGGCCACGCACTGCCAGCACGATACATCATCCACACCGTAGGCCCCAAATACAATATAAAGTACCAGTCTGCATCGGAAAATACTCTTCACACATGTTACAGGTATTTCAAAGGCAACGTCGCCGATTCATTGCTGATAGAGGTGGATTTTACCTTTTTTTTTGCAGGAACGTGCTGCAGAAAGCGAAAGAGATGGGCCTGCACACGATAGCATTATGCGTGATCAACTCCGTAAAGAGGAACTACCCACCCGACGAGGGAGCTCACATAGCACTACGTAAGCCTCGCAGAGAAAAATCCCTCGCGCTAGTTCTGGGATGTATTTTGCTCTAGTTAAAAATGCGCGAACTGAGACAAAAAACACTAGTACACCGCCCCTTCCCCCGACTCACAGATAAAACTTATGCATTTTAATCTCCCTGAAAGTCAAAAGGTCTCACCTTCAATGAACGTTTCGTAAATAATTGAAACCGTTGAAGGTAGCGGAGATTATCTTATAATCCGGTTAGCGTAGATTTACGTCACCTTTTCTACTTACGGTTCTAATGTATGCATATCGGTTCGATTGGGTAAACACAAAGGAGTACATTACTTGCCTATTTCCAGAGCAATTAGTACTGCGTGGTTTGTTGCTTGACCGATCCGGTAATTTTTAGTTAATTAAAAGCATTAGGTGACGGTAATTCTGGTGTTTGATGAATTATCGGTTAATTAGTGTAGACAGGAGGTGGTCGTGTGAGATTAAAGTGTAACGGTATGTACTTGTTTGTGTGTAAAGGTCTGAGCTAAAAATAGAACTGGAAACGGTGTTTGTATTACAGAAAGAAAAATTAATTTTTTTATTAAGTGAATTTAAAAATGCATTCGTTATTTTCAGTATTTCATTCTTTTGAAATTAAAGCAAATACTAGTTATTTTTTTTCTACTGTAAATATTTAAAAAACTCAAAAGTAACAGCGGTTTTCGAACATAAATGCTATTTTTCTGTTTTTCGTTCCCAAAAAACTGAAAATCGTGAACGAAATATGCTAAAATGATTCTCCGGAGAACGAAAATCCATAACTAAAAAATGTTTTACCTGCGATCGAAATATGAACCATAAATTGCTAATAACATTTTGAAGAACGAAAATGGGAACGAAAATTATCAGTAAAGTTGCTGCACTCAAACAATTGAAATTAATTAAAAAAAATGTAATCAGATTTTTTTTACACCTTTTTTATATGGATTTTGTATTTTATTTATTTTCGTTCCTACTTTGTTCTCAAATAAAATAGGAAATACATTAAAATGCGTCTCTCCAGAGAACGAAATCCATAACGATTCAAACGTTCCGTCTGAAATCAAAATTTGAATGTAAATCACTAAAAGCGTCACTTCACTCTGAAGAACGAAAATGGAAACGAAAAGTATTATTAGTGTGAAACGAGTGAAATTAACTAAAATTATGTAAAAACATTCTTCTGCGTGCTATTTAAGAAATCCAAATGTCATATATTTAACACTTATTTTTTATTTTATTTCCATTCCCATGTTCTCAAATTAAATACGAAAGGTATTAAAATGTTTCTCCTCAGAACGAAATCGGTAACTGATCAAATATTTTACCTGAAATATAAATTCGAATATAAATCAGTAAAAACGTCCCTCTAAAGAACGAAAATGGAGATAAAAATTGTTATTAGTTGTTCCACATCCAAACGAGTGAAATGAAAAAAAAAACGTAATCAGAGATTCATTTCATAATATGTTTTTTAAGAATAGTTTGTATATTTGAAAATGGAATTTTTGTTTTATTTCTTTTTGTTCCTACTTTTATTCCCGAATAAAATACGAAATATATTTAAATGTGGGACACAGAACAAAATTTGAATGTAAATCACTAAAAATATCACTAGAGAACGAAAATGGCGACAAAAATTTTTAATAAAGTTGCTCCATATGCAAACGATTAAAATTAAATTGAAAAACGAAATTCGTAACTATTCTAACATTCTTTCTGAAATCAAAATTTGAACGAAAATCACTAAAAACTTCACTACATTACTATAAAGGATGAAAATTGTTAGTAATGTTAATGAAGTTAAATTAAATGTATAAATTAAAGGATTTAACATTGTATATTTTTTAATTTAGAAAATAGAGAAAACATGTTCAAAAGTCTTTTCTTTGTCTTTCGTTCTCGTAATCAACATATCTGAGAACGAAATCAGTAACTAATTCAAACATTCTGCCTGAAACTGAAATTTGAATCTTAAATCACTATTAACATTACTATAAAAAAAATGAAAATCACACAATTAAAGTTAAGTTACAAAGTTATTTTTTTCTTTTCATCTTTTTTGCTTTCGTTTTCGTAAGTAAGTTTATTGTACATCCAGAAAAGAAAATGAAAATCAGTTCCTGATTTCTATAGATAATGATTTTAAGAATATAGACCCAATTCAATAATCAAAACTAATATTTTTTTCATTAATTCCTACTGTCGTCCACAGGCAAAATTATTACTTTACATGTATGATTATTGTACATATTATTATTATTGTTAACAATTTTTCATTCCTGATGCCAGCAATAACAAGGATTTAAAAAATATGCTCATAATTTAAAAGGGCTCTATAGCAAATAGGCAACCAGTAATACATGTTTATAGATTTTACTGCACAGTTTGTCTAAATATAAATTAATGCACAAATAACGGACTCTCCCATTTTAATGCAGATTTTCTATAAAATGGATTTGGTTTGAAACTCAAATTACTTTTTGCTGTAAAGAAATTTGTAATTTGCCGCTTTTGAACAAGCAGCATCGTAAATTACAAATTTCTTTACACTAAAAAGTAATTTGAGTTTCAAAGTAAGTCCATTTTATAGAAAATCTGCGTTAAAATGGGAGAAAGTCTGTTATTTGTGCATTAATTTATATTTAGACAAACTGTGCAGTAAAATCTATGAACATGTATTACTGGTTGCCTATTTGCTATAGAATCCTCTTAAGAATCAAAAGTGATATATTTTTCTTATTTCCCTTCATATGATTATTGTAAATATTAATTTTACTATGAACAATTTCAGAAAAAATATTACCTTTTGTTTTTTACTCTATTATAACGGTTTTAAGCTGAAGCTAATTCAAATAGATTCAAAAAATGTTTTCCTAAAAAAAATCCTATTGTGTTCTTTGATACCAAAAATCTAGATATGTAAAAAATATCTAATTTCACAGGTAAGATTCCTAACTGTTGATAGTGGGGAAACTATTACTCTTGCCAGTTGGCATTGAATTACACCAGCAATATCTAGTAATTAATAATTATTCCAATATAAAAGTAAAAAATTACTTATATTAATATAAAAACACATTTCTGACAGTGAAATTATTAAATAATGCAATATTTCAAACAAATAAAGGATCTTTCAATAAGAGTGGCACTTTTTAAAATTTGAAAAGAAAATAAACCACAACATATCAAAGTAAATTGTGCTTTACTTTGAAGCTTAGACATTGCAGTTATGTTCTAAACAAAATATCGTTCAAATGTCCACCATGACTTTGAACACACTGATGCACAAGATGGCTTCAATTGTTAGGTCACTCTGTCCAACATCATCGTCGTTATGTCTGCGATAGCCCGACGAATGGTCACCTCCAAATGTTCCAAAGTTTGTGGCTTGTCAGCATAGACCTGGGCTTTGATGCAGCCCCAAAGAAAAAAAATCATGGGTGTTAAATCACATGACCGTGGCGGCTAATTCACACATCCATGTCTTGAGATGATGTGATCGCCGAACTTCTCCTTCAGCAAATCGAGTGTAGCAGCAGCTGTGGCACGTAGTGTTATCCTGCTGGAACCACAGAAATTCGCGTAACATGAATCTATAGAGGTTGCCATTGACCGTAGCGGTTCTTCTCTCATCGTCTCAAAAGTAGTAAGGTCCAATGATGCCGCCACGCCATAAACCGCACTACACAGTGAGTTTTTCTGAATGCGATGGCACTTCATGGACCACTTGGGGTGTTCTTCTTGCTCCATTAACAACACTTTTGCGTATTGACGAAGCAACTAAGACAAAAGTACGCCTCGTCTGAGATGATTTTTGCACTGAAATCAGGTTCAGCTTCCAACTGCTGTACGGACCAATCAACAAACTCACAACACAGCAACGAACTCACGATGCAATCTGTCATCATCCTTTGGCCTCAACTGTTGGGTCAATACAATTTTGTATGGATGCAGGACCAAATTCTTTCGCAAGATTCTCCAAGTTGACGTCTCAGATAGCCGCAACAGTTGAGAACGTCTTGAAACCGATACATTCGGCTCCTTCTGCGCTACTACTGCGATATTGTCCTCACTTTGCGCTTTACGTTGTCTTCTAGTCGTGTAGAGTGAAATCCCATTTAAACTTGGCCACGGAGCGGCATATAGTCTGAATAGAGAAATGGTGATGGCGACCCAATTCTCTGGCGAACAAATATGCACCCGCACAACCCACTACTGAGCTGCCACTTTGGTAAACATTTTTAAAGATTTCTTAAGGTTAATTAGGAAGCTTGAGTTCCCACGTGATGAAACGGCAAATTATACTGGATATTTTCACCCCTGGAAGCACACCAAAAAAATATATTAAAAACTGGAAATTGCAATTTTAAAAAGTATCACTATTAATGAAAGACCATTTATACAGTATTTTTGTTATTCTAATATCATCCTTGGCAAAGACATGTAAATATAGCTACTAGAGAAAGACCTTAGTATTTCCATATTTTACCAGGATTGTTCTTCAGGTAGCCTTCTTATCTGATGAAACGGTTCCAATAAAATGTGGAAATAGTAAGTTCTATAGTAGCTACTTTTACATGTTGGTTTTTATCAAAAGAGATATTAGAACCACAGAAATACAAGATATTTGTGTCAGGTAATAGGTAACATTTGTATATTAATTTTTGTTTTTCGTTCTCCATAAAAGTATTTTTCTTATGTTAAATTATCACATATCTCAGCTATTAACTATTTTTAATGTTATTTTCATTGTTGTCGAGACTATTACTATGTATTTCGTTCTCAGGACAATGTATTTGGTTTCATGGTTAATTTTTACAAGATTCCTTTTTAGTTAATTCTTAAATTATTCCATTTTGGTCTTGTTGGCCAGAAAAAATCAAAGATGGAAGATATTTTTTGATACCTACTGGTAACATACAAAAAGATTTAATGTTGTCATAACCTGGCAAATTTGTCATATGGTACTAGAAAATACTGTTTACTAAATTTTA